AGTTTTTTTGTTGATTGCCATGCTTTACGGTTTGATCGCCTTCCCCGGAGCCTGAAGACAGTCAAGATTCATGAGTGGTCCTTTGCAAGCGGGCCTCCTCTTCCTGGTGTTTTTGACAGAAAATCAGGAAATGTACATGAAATTCCAGATGGGAGAAATACAACAACGCGCCATCGCAAGAGCTGAGAAATGCCATTGTTACTTCTTAGCGGCAAGTGCCTGGCAGTCACTGTGTTTTCACTTTGGAACCACTTAGGATTAGGATTTGCATGCTTCTCCGAATTCGCTACGTAGCGACGTCACAGCATTTATTTATTCATCAGCCATAGCGTGTTTCATCGACAGCAAAAACCCAACTCTCGGGAATTCAAAAAAGGAAAAAATACCCGATCACGGGGAAGTAAACAAACCATCCGACAAAACTAACAAACAGACGGACAGACTGAGTGGAGCCAATTGATAAAAGTGGTATGACTCACTGGTAACAACTGGGGTTCTTCCAGTAGTGGTTAGCTGGATGAGTTCTACTTTCTCATTTGGGACTTTAGGTTGTTTTCTCAGTCTCCAGTGCTTGGAGGAGGCGTTCCATAGAACAAATGGACAATTCTCGAATTCTATCCATGATCACCACTCTGATGGTGAGGACCACGATCTAGTGGAAAGGTCGGGCCAAAACGTGATAAAAGTTACATTTACCAACCCCGCTGACCCACAAAAATAGTAGGCTACTACTTTGAAAGGATATTGCGATTTTTTTGCTTTACAAGAGCGTAATGGCAGCTGTTCGTCATTGTTGGGTCCCCTAAAGTGGACTAATTTGCAACTTCAAAGGCGTATTTTGTATTGGAAGTCTGGGCCTTCAATCGGATACAAGGCGTTTCAGGAGGGAGCGCGACTGTGTTTAGCGCGACGGCAGCCCGTTCCCCACCAACTGTTGAAGCAGGAAACGACAAGAAGTGGTGTAGAACGCATTGACGCGCCAAACCCTGCACACAAATCCCTCCCCCCGACTGAGCGCCCGCAGCGAAACAAGGCTGTAGTAAAAGAGATACTCTGATCAGCTACAGAGAGCATATCAATGGGTAATTGTCTGCATCCGCGTCAGAACACATCATTCACTTCCTTAGCACAAACTGTGCCTTCGAATGCTATCAGGCAACCAATAAGTTCGTGCGGTTTTTTTAATTGTCTACTTTTATGAAGTATATTCAGTAAACTGGATCTAGTGGTAGGGTAACTTTGAATACATGTTAAGACATATGTCAAGGAGTGTCATTCAGTGTATTTGTTAATTTAGATTACTTTCAATTAAGGCGAACAGAAAAGGTGTGGTTTTCCACCAGGACAATGCAAGACCACACACTGCAAGAATCACTCAGGAACAATAGCGCGACTAGGATGGGAAATTCTACCTCACCCTCCGTACTCGCCAGACCTTGCTCCAAGTGACTATCATTTGTTTTTGGCCTTGGACAACCACATGAGGAATCGGCGATTTGAAAATGAAGTGGCTTTGGACAACGAACTAAAACATTTCTTTAATTCCCAAAAGCAAGATTTTTACAAAAATGGAATATATGCTCTTGTGTCTAAATGGGAAAGTGTATTACTTGCTGAGGGTAATTATTTTTCGGAATAAATCTAAGTTTAACCCGTTTTTTATGTTATTATTTCGCTACCTTCAAAACCGCACGAACTTTTTTGGTTGCCTGATAAATTAGATTATAATCATCCTACGTCATTGTCAATCGTCGGTCTTGAAACTGTAGAGAAAACTGATGTGTGATGGCTTCTTATCAGTGACGTTTTCAGGTTTGGTGGTCATACAAAACTTGTTCGGATACACGTATACAAGGGAAGATGTGGTTTCGCATTAGAGTCTCTCACACATGATTCGGTCGTAAGCCTTATCGAGTTCTACAGGACAAGATCGCTCAAGGTCAGTGTTAGTGCGTTGATGTACGCTGTAGATGGAAAAGGCTTCATATAATCGAAACCACTTAAGCAGGTTCTTTTAGTGTTACAATGCCCAGCTAGACGTTTGTTTGAAGTACCCATTACCGCGAACGGAAAAACTCTGCCAGAACAATTGAACCGTACTCTGTTCCAGCTTCAGTTTCGCCTCCATTACCAGCCTTTAATCCTGGTATGCTCATTTTTTTTGCATGGATATCAGAGTGTTGTGGATTAACAGATGTGGGACCATAGCTAAATAAACAAAGCCTGGTCACATATTAGAAGAGGGCTAAGCTATGGGCGAAATTCAGACTCCAGGCGGGACTTGAACTCGGGTCTCTGCTTGTCGGGCGAGTGCATTATTCATTAGAAGCTGAGATGAGACGGTAAAAGCGGCCCAGGTGGCGTCATGGATGGAGTACCCGCCCACTATGTATGAGCTGCGCGTTGAAGTCCCGCCCGGGGTCTTTTGCCACAACTCTGCACTCTTCTGGTAATTCTCGTAGTGCGAACTGTAGCGCTGAACAGCAGCTATCGTGATAAAAGGCTTGAACCATTTTTGAAACCCGTCTTATATTATAGAATACCTGCCTGCTAATATCATCAAAGAACTGCTAAGGAAATTTCAGTTTGGGATAACAATCAAAAATGCTTCCAACAGTGGTTGAGGTCTCCCTCCATCTATATCTTCGGCATCCCGCGTTTCTGTGATTTCTTTGCCTCACGATTCCTCTAGAGCCTCTAAGTGGACAGCATTTACCGGGTTCTTGATCACTTAAAATGGAATATTTGGTCCACAAAATAGTCTATATTTCCAGATTGGGAGCTGCGATTAGGTTTGGAGCGCCTTCGAATATATCAGACATCAGTCGATCGAGCCGCTCGCCTGTTTGATGCTGTCCATGAAGAGAAGAAAATGGCTGATGATCTTCATTACGAGTATACACAAGCTGTAAGTTAAGGCTTCTGGCAGTCGTTGCTATCTGTTGGCCCAGACGGTAAAGGATTACGATGAGTTCCTCTGAAATTGGCTTGTTTTCGTGGAAGATCCTGTGCTCCGAGCAGATCCGCTTTTATATCACTTACCAATCTCGTTAACTGATTGATAAGTACAGGGCCCTAGGCCACCCTCTGCTTTATTGTTCCCCTATCGACATGCACTTTCGAGAGCCGATTCACTTATGCTTTAAATCCTGTTGGATGGTACCGGATCATGGACGGTGGAAAAATTATTTGTAGATATGTCCCCATCAACGCCACTCATCTAATTCTCGCCAAGTGGGGGAATCTACCCATAAATGAGAGAGCAGCAATCTCTCAATGCAGAAGTATGACCATCCGTTCTCCGTAAAATAAGACTCACCCACCTTGAGGAATGCTAAGCGTACAGTATACCCTGGCTGGTACTACTCTTGCGGAATACGAAGATTCTGATTTCAAGACTGATTAGATCCCACAGGTCCTTATGAACGCGTGCAGTAACTGTGACGCTGAACGAGAGTGGAGGGCGTGATATTCATGGTTAGGGGTCAAACAGCCCTAGGAGAGAAAAATTCTGGCCGGCTCCGCTCCCGGAGAAAAATTCTGGTCGGAATTCACTAGAGTTGCAAAGGCTGGGTCAGTGAGGGGTAAATAGTGGTAGGTTTCGTTATATATTTCGGTTTATATGGGGAAATTTTCGAGAGGAACTTGTCATCCTTGCAAACAAACGAAAAAGACAACGGCTGGCAACCGCTTTGGTCGTTTTAGTTTCTTTCAAAGTGAATTTCTGCAAAAATCAAAAAAAAAATCGTTCACGTACTTACCTGTCTTGGGTAGCAAAGTCAGGCTGATTCCATCAGAACTCGGTGATTTTCATCCCTATGCGTTAAAATTGATAGCCTTTTTCAGATCATTGATATGGAACGGAAGGTGAAGCAACTCGAAGATGTCCTAAGCACTCTACAAAGCTGTAGAGAGTCCAGTGATGAGACTGATCCTAAACGTGTCACTGCTTTTAAGGCTAATGCTGAGGTGTGGTTATATACCATTGAATTCCGCTTAGAAGTTTGATCGTCTTAGCGTCTCCAGAGCGCCTGTTTCAGGTTGTCGAAAAGGGAATAAAAAAGTTGAAAGAAGAGCGCGAATTCGTGATGGATCGTCGTTCACAAGTGGCGAAGATCATTGAGGATCTAGAGCAAGCGTCATCTCATGCAAAGGTCAGCTCGCGAGCGCTCGAGCTCTCATTAGCCATGTCTTTCCGTAATGTGTTCTGGATTGTAGGAACGCCTTGTGTCATGTCACAACACACGGAATCAATCTTACACAGAACTTTATAAAAAAGGAGTACCAAAGCATAAGTTAGGAGAAACTATAGAGCATGCAACGAGCATGCTAGAAAAAGAAACGATGCAAGCCAGTGAATTGCTTGCGGATATTCCGCTTGCATGGGAACCGGAACAGTGAGTCGAAGTTTTCAATGGTTTTCGCTTTTTTTTCAGTTGGCTTTCGCTTATTGTCACTCTCACCCTTAAAAAGACTTCTGCTCATGAAGCGGGCCATCAAAGCGCAGGTGGTTGGTGGGACAAATTGGTAATTTAAACGTTTACTTCGATCACTCTCTTCGGTACTGGTGTCTGCAGAAAGGGCACGTCCTGCCTTTGGAGAAAAGTTTTTCAAAATCCTATCTCCCTCAATATCTGCTCCTCTTATACGGCCCCCTTCGCCTATTCCCCATCGTGCTACTATCTCCTCCATTTTCCTACCTTTTTCCCCCACAGATTTTCGCGAAAATTCCAGTTTTAACCAGAAAAGCTGCCATCGAGCGGAGGGTCAGTACTGCACGTGAAATGGGAAAAACCGAGAAAAGTCTACAGCCAAAAACCCATGGTAGCAGGTATGACCACGTCACCTCCAGTGATCAGAGACGACTTCCCCACTCCTCGCTGGGGATCCCTAATGTACGACCCTTGTATCCCGAACCCATTGAACAGACGTGCCTGAAATCCTGAGGCGCTTTAGATCAAGAGTTTGAGTCATAAAAACAGAGCATGAGTTATATGTGGTTGTCCAAACAACTGCTAACGTCTTTCAGCAACTACGCAACCTTCAGGAACCTTAGTGCAAGTGACTTAGCCCTGAAAATTACGCAACTACTCCATTGTTACGCAAATAGCTCGTTGGTGGCCGAAATTTAACCTCACATTTTCGCGGCGTTGCAGACAGTGATGAAGCGTTTGGCCCTGCTGCTCACAGTTTTGTTCGCTGGCGCGTTTCGATAGGCTGGTAGGCCATCGCAATTGGTGAAGAACAGGTGACGCCGCGCAAAACCCAGCCCCCCCCCTGAAACGCCCCAGCGCCAGCACCGAACAAGGCTGTATATAGGAACATGTAGAAGTATGTTACCATTGGGGTTTCCTTGCACTTTGTCACCCTGCGTGGCATAAACTGTGATGGTGCGCGCCATGAGCAAGGTATTTTTTTCGCTCCTCGTCTGCAGGTTCTAGAAAAAAGGTCTTAATTCTAGCTACCTTGTAAACGATCCTTCAAAGGAAGCGGCAGCTGTACTTATTCTTCAAGCCCGTGCCCGTCTCTTGGAAAGGATGGGTCGGCACCGAACTACAGATGGCATTTTTCTGATCCGCCCCTCTGCTTCCCAGGTAGCTAGTCTTTGATTTTTTTCTTTTTTTATAGAAGCATCGTCTGTTTTTCAGGCCAACAAACTCGTGCTAAGTGTACTTCACGGAGAACGCGTATCGCACTGTCTTATCGGGCAGACCTCAGAGGTGTGTCGATAGCTACGTTTCAAAAAGCAATCTCGTTGCGTGACGATTTGAACATCGAGTCCGCGTTTTTCAGGGATGGGGATTCGAGAATGGTGGCGTTTATTTCGTCACTATCGGTGATTTCGTTCGGTATTATGCCCAGGCTTCTCTGGAAGAGCATAATTCTGAGATTAGAACAACCTTAACTATGCCAGCATTATGAATTTGTCTTTTTTTTCTGCAGCGATCTATTTTCCTGTTTTGTTTTTCTGCTTCTTATTTGATAATGACTCATAGCGTGGTGACCTTCAACCGGTAAAATTGATTGTGGTATGAGGGTTGGATGCCCCTTGCCAAAGCCGTAATGCTGTTTCAAGGCATAATAGCTCATTGTGCTCTTCTTCCTTAGCTTAGTCGTCGTCTTGGTGGACATTAAATTAGCCAAACTGGTCCTTTATTACTATTTTCCGGAGCAATACAAGTTAGGCAGCGTTCAGAATTCGCGGTGACGCGCGTCGACGCGCTACAATTACAACAGCACTCCAATCCTGTGAAGATCCAGGAACTCGATCAGCGCCGGTCGTTTGTGTATTGAGAGAAAGTATGAGGGAACAGCGAGGAAGACGCTTTGCCTAATCACGCAGTCTGGTATTGATCAACACTGGTCGCTAGGGCTATGGGAGACTATGGAAGAATATGAGAGTACCAGACGGATGTAAGCAAAGCCTAGCCTCCTGTTTCTTGTACTCTCTCTCAAAAACGCAAGCGTCCAGCGCCGATCGATTCTCGTATGGGCTGCATTCAGATTAATAGGATTGGACCGCTACGGTGCAATTTAGCGACGGGGAGGGGCATTTTGTACTTTGCTATTTACCAGAGAGCTATTTCATGAGCTCACAAGGTTGACAGGTTTTATCATGGTAGCTCGACGAGCCTACTCTAGCTTAACAAGAGTTCACAGGCTTTACCAGAGTGAAACCTGAAAACCGGAACTAGTGCAGCAGTGAAAGTGCAAAATGCCCCCCCCCCGTCGCCGAACAGCCTCGCACCACTACTGCGAATGTAGTGCGTCGACGCGCGTCATCTTGAAGTATGAACGCTGTCTGAAAAATCTCACCTCTGGGTGACTGTACATTCCAGGTATTTGCTTCATCGTCTACAATTTCTATTTACATTTCCTTTCTCGCATTTCTTCCATGAATTTCTGCCCACATTTTTTCCACCTAACAGTGGTTTTGTTCGTGTTCCGAAGAATCTAGTCTTAGTTTTCCCCTAATTAGTTTTCCTTTTCCAAACGTTGTTTCCGTTACTACGAGGTCATCATTTACATTATAATCGTACTCATTTCCTATTCAGTTCATGGACAAACCGGTCTATGTTTTGATAGTGCGGTTTCGTTTCTTTCTCGTGATCATATGCCACTTGTCGTTTACATGTGCTTTTGAAATCGATAAATAATTATGTATTCCAGTTCGCATCGAAGAAGGCATCTCTCATCGGTGAACGCGTCAGGAGCACCATTGGTACGTTTCCATTTCCCCATGACGGCCGTTTCCACTCCCCATGATTCTAAAGGTGCCAGCGCCCCTGATTCGAAAGGTGCCAGCGCCCCATCTACGGGTGCAACGAAGGTATCTGTAGGTCTTGGTATTACGCAGTTCTCCTCATTGAAAGGTCTAAGGAGAGGCTGGCTGTGTGCTCAGAACTCCTCTTAAAATTTTATTTTGTGTAATGATGTTTAATTAATTTTGTCTTCAGACCGATGGAATGAAGATGCCATGGACAGATGCGTGGGAAAAGTTACGAGTAAAAGTACTAGAAGTGTTCGGCAATCATGAAACCCTACGGAGAAGACCAAAGTGTTTCCGGAGATGATCGGATGCACGGGAACGACATGGCCTCAAATTCTCGGTGAGCTTCCCTCTCAGTGGATTTTTCTCTCCTTTTGAGCTTTTTAATTCCCATCTAGTTGCATAGATGATTTTCATTTATAAAAATGTTTCACGACGGAAGTGGTTATATTTTGCGACGCTGCGGAACAGGGGAAAGGCGCGAATCACGTCAATGCACACCAAAGGAAATGGGAACGATTTATTTCGAATTTTCTAGATTCATTAGCAACCAGATTCGATCGGTGCTCATCCATTCCTTTGACGCGCATTCTCCCAGAACGACTATTCGCTGGTTCCCTACTCTCCAGTCGCAACTGGAAGGACGTAGCTCAAGGCGAGCCTATAAATGCCGGGGCGCAATTTAGTCCAATTTGAATGCCTTTTATTGACAACAGCTTCAGTTGCTAGGATATACGATCGTTCTACACGAATGTTTTTTCGCTGTATTCCAATATTGCTTTGAGACCAACTCAGCGTAGGAGAGGGGGGGGGGGGCAAAACGATGACAGACTCCTGTGCTCCTGTGAAAACTACGACATGTTGGGAGCTCCATTTTCAAACTATTTTTGCATAAAGAGACATTCCGTGAAGCCTTTCTCCTAGGCTAGGCAAAACTCCCCATTATCTTGTTCCCCCTACTGCACTAAATGCCGTCTAAGGAAGAACAAGAAAAACCGGCGTAAAAAGAAGGCCCGGTTTGATTCGTGGCTTTGGGCCCAGGGTTGACGAAACAGCCGTGGTTTGCGTGGCGCTAAGGCAGCGTTCAGACTTCGCGACGGCAGCGCTTCGGTCGCGCGTTGGACGCGATCGATGCGCATGCTTTTGACTGCATCGATCGCGTCGAACGCGCGACCGAAGCGCTGCCGTCGCGAAGTCTGAACGCTGCCTAAGAAACAAAATGAACCATTTGTATTTTTGTGGCGATCCACATCTTTCCCTTATTTTCTAATTAAGATAGTTTTACAGGTCTCCAAAAATGACCCTGCACGTTTATAGGACTTAACTAAAGGTTCCCCTTCCCCCTGTACCCTAAGCTGAAGTCCCCCTTCAATTGATTTGATGATACCATTTGTGAACGACAAAGCCTTACATGCATTCGTACCATAAGTGCGTGAGAATGCAGGCAACTGGCATAAAAGTGCATAAGAGTTGATTTTTTTGCCGTACTCCTAATCTGCACTCGGCTGGTGTTGTGGACAACGAGAAGAGTGTTCGAAAAAACTTTTGAGTGTCTTGATTGGCCCAGGTGCCTGCATTTTTCGATAAGGTATAGGCAGTCGCTCTTTGATAAATTATATTTAATGGTTTTTCTTCATTTCCTGTCAGGTGATCGCAGACTGATCCGAACTAATAGGTGTAAATTGTTCACAATATCCTCAATTGATGTGAACTTGTTTTTTTGGCTAACTTTTCGACAAGAATCGTGTCGTCACGGAGGTGGGTTTTATAGTTATAAATGGCGTATCAAGGAGACTAGGATACCAGGCCCAGTCAGTCTTGGTAGAAGCACCAAAGTGCAGGAAGTCTGTGTGCAGCCTCCTCCCCACTGTGAAGATTCGTAGGTTTCTGCAACCAAAGTGGCCCACTTGCGCCGTGTCGCAGCGAACTGAGACCTGGAGACTCTTGCGAAGTTTTAAAGCTGTTACTCACAACTCAGCACTCTTCTAATAGCTCTTGTGGAGCTTTCCCTCTCCCTTCTCCAAGCCGCAGCCAATATAACACTGGAAGTCTACATTTGTAAGTGTTCATCGTCGAGTTAGTTTAAACTTTTTTTGACCTGCGCAAATTTTGTCGAGAAAGGTCGGTGCGATTTGAAGTGGATTCCACTCAGGAAATAGGGTCAGTTTTCTGAGCTGATTTATTCCGCCTGGACACCGATGGAGAGTCTCATTGACCGTTCTCGAGCCCTGAAAAATCTAACGCTGTGGTAGGGCACATTGATTGACTCAGCGCCATATTCCACGTACAACTTCTGTCAATCTTATATGCATTTTTTAATGGAAGCTTTTGCTTCCTAATGTTCTGCTCATAAATAATTTATGCGATATGCGGACCTTTTTCGGAAGCTTGGAATTCTTCTGTAGAAGCCAGGGAATTCTTAACCCGAATTCCCACCTATATCGGAATTCCTGAGGTGTGATAATGCTATGACGAGCACTACAGCAATGCTGTTCAAATTCTTTGCTAATAGTTTTGAATGATACCTTGTCAGATTCCAGACGACCTTGTAAAGCAGTCTGAAACCAGTTTTGGTGGTATTATCATGCGCAGTGATTATTTAGTTCCTCCTTTCACATTTAGCTAAGAACGGTTTGTTCATCACGTACGGAAAACTCATACCCACATCGTACTATGCTTGACCATCCTTTTCCTTAATCGGCTTAGGATGTTTTGATGATATGCAAAATATGTACGGTTTTTGTATAATGGAGTAGCGTGACTATTGCAGTTTGCTTATGAGGATTTTCATTTGATTTGTTTCACGTATTTTCCCCAGAATCTCTTCATCACTGATATACGGAATAATGGAAGCGAAGTGTAACCATGTCGTCTTGCAAAGCGAACTGGACGATTCCTAAAGGTTAGGGCCTTCTGTATTTTTTATATACGTTATTTGTCGAAGGGCTTTTTCAAATGCAGGGTGCTGGGAAGCAGCAATACTATATTCTTATTGAATAAACGCAAAAAGGTTTCGTCGCCTTTCTATTAATTTCGTTTGTTTGGAATCATTCTTCTTTTGTGAACTACTGTTTCTCGACCCAGATGTATGACCGCGGAAAACTTTAACTGACGTCTAGCAAGTTTTTATTCCTGCTGGCGTGAGAAACTGGTATTTTCTTTCTTTCTCGATGGGTCACTACCTCCCTGGTGAAAATTGAACAGTGATGCGGAGGAGCAGCTCCCAAAAGATGCCTAAGTTCCATCAAAATTTTGATCTAGAAATGAATTGGCACCGCGCTGACACTGCTTTCGCGGGTGAGTGCGCTATCCGTTACGCCACCAGGACTGCTCTTAACCACTCACCTTGACGGCTTCAATGCCGTTACCTTATGGCATTCACTTGTTTAACACAGTGAGCTGGTCAGCCGTATCGATAGATTTGTGCAGAGATATAGGCTTAGTTCTGCCAATTCTCCTAATGGAGGAATCGCCAAATCGAATGCCAAATGTATGTATGATCAGTCAGAGTTTGAAGCATGCGTTTTATTTCTGGTCGAGTTTTGCCTTTAACTTCCTACACAATTTACCTGAGAGAACCTGTGTAAAAACTGCTGCCTTTTACGCCTCCATACCAAACTGGCAAATCAAGCGCCTGAAAGGATGAAAAGCCTAGGGGAGGGAGAGGGGGTATCCGGTCCTCGAGTAAGATCGAGCATGTGCAGAATGCCATGCTTACCGATTTCTCATGTTTACGTGAATCGCGCTGGTGGAACTCTTAGTTGTCAACTACGAGGGTTAAATGTCATGTTTCCGATCCTCAACATGTGCGCTGAACTCGCTGGTGGGAAACTTGAGTTGTTCCAACAATGAGGGTCAGGGTGAGGGGTGTGGAACTTTAGCTCTGAGTCACGCCGTGTGCGGCGAAATAGTCGTTGGAAGGAGGTGACGCAGGCAGCATTCGCACCAGGATCCCTCAAAGTACCAGTACTGGAACGCGTCTGCGCATCCTCGCAATCCCTCAAGTCAGCTAGCTAGGAAATACCCTGCAAGTGCCACGATGTCGTGACTTGAAAGTGAGGTTGCATACCCATGTATACGCTGCTTACCTAATAAATACCGATACACCGCTCATATAAAAGTTGACAGACGCCGACACACCGCCTTTCCCGACCCAGACGGCTCGAACCACCACCTCACGCTACCTCGCCGAGTACGGGCGAGCGAGGGGGGGGGGGAGTGGGAGGGTTGTGGATGGTACCCTCTGTCTTTTCTTTTATATGGAGTGATCGATGTTATTAACCTTGAGGTACGCCAAGCATTCCGCTTTAATTAGTAATCTTAAGCACATAAAAACTTTGATGCCGCCTACGCTACGCAACAATCCTTCACGGCCCGCAGGCAAGCTTCGACCCAGTAACATAATCATCTGGTCCCCCGACATTCGGTTAGAGCTCCTTTTTGTAGTATACACGTTTTTCCTAACTCCGCCATAAATTTAGTCATGGACTGTAGCGATTTTTGCTTATTATGGTGGGATGCTGGGGTAAGTTATCCATCAACAGCTGGCCTACTAAATAGCACTATGGCAACCATATTTCGAGTAACTGACTATAAACTAGGCACACCGCTGCGCTGTGCTGAACAACACATAGTCATCCAGGCGGCTAATTTTACAGCTTGACTAGTAAACATCTTTTTATTGATGAATGTTTCAGAAATGGAGGAGACGCTAGTTGCTCTGATTCCATTAAATGATGATCGTTTGAAACCAAAACGAACTTGGTTCTGGGTGCTGATAGGAATCGCGGTTTGTGTTTTTGCAGTTCAGATTTTCACGTTTGGTCTATCACACGTGCAAATTCAGCATTCTCATAGGATCGTGTCTCCTTGAAACACTCGTTATTAATTGTTTTAGGTGTGTGCTGTGCTCGCTTCTGCAGCAATCTTTATGTTGGTCCCACGTTCCGTCGATTTGTACAGCAGTAGGCCTGCCATAAATATTATTCATGTGACTGAACATAAACAGCTCCCGCCAACCATACGTTTCCATTTTATGGTAATTTTTGTTGATGTGGACTTGGGAACCGTAATATACTATAATTACTTGATTTTTTACAGAATTACGTGAACATATCAAATGCAAACTACTATGTTGTACAAGTTGTTAACACGTCGGCAACGGTAAATTTATTTCATATAATGAGACTTTTCTATGGCGCAGTCCGGCGACGACTAAGGGGTGTAGGCATTTTGCACTTTGCTACTTCCTGTCGAGGTGTCAAGCCGTCAAGTGAAAACTTGTGAAATCTCGTGAAGCCACGAAATGAGACCAGCCAAAGTTTGTAGAACCTCCTCTCAATTCTCGTGTAGCAGTGAAATACCACACCACTCACCAAGGTTTCTCGAGAGCATGCTCCAGCTTTTTTTGGAGTTCACAGGTTTCATCAGAGTGAAACTTTAACCGTAACTAGCGGAGTAGCAAAAGGGCAAAGTGCCCCCCCCCTGACGCCGAACTGCGCTCTTTTCTATCTTACCTACTTTTACAAATTCAGATTATCTCTAAATTCCAACCGTGGTCGAGCGATGTGATAGGCTCTGGATTGAATTCAACGACTGTAGCCATAGCTCCTCTTAGCAGCCGTAACAATTTGCTGATGTTCAATAACTCTGTCACGCTCACCGATGTCGTAGCGTAAGTATAAAAATTCTGAAGCTTCTACATAAGCAGCATTATCGATTTTTTTATGATGGTATTATGTAAGTTCTTTGAGAAAAGTTGAAAGCACAGCCTGGATTTCACATAACCTTGATCACGAAAGTGTAGGGATTGTTTCGATAGTGCATCGTATCCACGAGTTCGCTGGTGAACCCTATGGGCTAAGTACTGAATGCACTGTTCGACCGAGGGGGAAGGGGGAGTGAGGGGAGAGGATATTATGTTTTATTTTGCTTTTTTATTTTTTTTTATTTTTACAAGTCTTCTAAAGTCTGTGAAGCCTGCGAAAAGTACACAGTATTGAGCCACTTCATGGTTGACAGGAATTTACATGTCTCCATAAGATGGCCTGTACAAGCTTTGCTGAGCACCATTAGTTGCCCCCACCAAGCCGAACGGCGCCGTAACCTTTCAGTATATCTGCACGAACCTCTCCTATATTCTTTGCAATATGACCTTTCCCTTTCAATTTTCCCACATTTACGATGGGCGACGGTAAACGGCAAAATCGCACTTCAGCATCCGGCTTGGTGTAACGGCGTGTTGCGGCGGTTTCGGAACATAAGGTCAACTATGGTCACAGCGATGACACTTCTTAAGCCGGACTAACTATGAATCAACATGGAAATACTCACCAACACTATAACTTCACAAACATCGAATCTAGTATAACAAGTGTTGATCTGAATGTGGAGTTTACAACTAAATTTCCGTTGAAGCTGGGGTAAAGTCCTAGTAGGAGCGCAACAACGCCTTCTCATATTGTTTAGGCACCCCCTCATCAAACCGTGGAGACATTTTTCTCTAAAAGTTACCGGTTCTCTTTTACTTTCAAAGCATTCCTGTCGCTCGAATGGCTCCTTCCAAGATCCTTGTACGAGAGCAGTTGTTCACAGAAGATCTGTTACCACGTCATCAATGTCGTAGCAATTCAAGCAATTTGGCACGTTATCTTGGCAGGAGGTGTACGCATTGATTTATCCCTTGAACTTTCAACGGGTTGGTTCAGATAATTCCTGGTTGACTCAATGGAGCCGTTCTGGTGAAGCATTTTGGCCAGCTTTTGATTTGTAACCTCATCACTTGGCTTTCAGTTGGCTGTGAACATTCTTGAAAAGTGATTATACCCACTGGAGATCAAAAGGGTTCACTTCGCTCTTGAATGGGTGGTTTTGTTGATTAATACACTCATAATAGCCAGCGCTGTGCAAGTCATTTGAAGCGTATCGATTTGAAACATCTATTTTGCTTCCTTTGAACTTCGTAGGTGCGCGTCTGATGCTCAAGTGTGATTTTGCCGTTTACCTTACATACATTTACGATTAGGTGATCAATTAGCTCTGTTCATCGGATTCCTACATATATGCTACTGAGGCGGAAGTAGCGTAGTGGCTAGTGGTACGCTTGCGGTTAGCACGGTCTGAGGGTCAAATAACGGATCGGCTCCTGCCCAGGTTATCCAAGCCTTCTACCCTCCGATAAAATGCAAGCCTTTGCTCTCTACCTTCCGGTAAAACTAAATCGATACCGTATCCATCTGGGAGGATGAAAAAATAATGTGCATCGACTGGCCCCTCACGTATTGTATAGTCCACATTGCATTCAATAAGCTACTACCATTTTGAATGGAAATAGAATGTGTGCAGCATCCCCGATACGACATTTATTGATGGCAGAAGCTTTATTCTTTTCTTAATTTATTCCGGCTAAAAGAGAATATTCCATTGCTGCTGTGAGTCATACTTTGTGCAAAAGACTCTTGCTCATGTGCTCATTCATAAATTTCATAAAAAAAGAATATTTCTCAAACTTTCTCGAGGCTATATTTTTTGACGCAGTTGTACCAGTCATTTTTGGGAATTTAATACATCATCTTATTCTCTGGAGTTTATTCGGTTTTTTAGGGAATATTGTCAAGCACCATTTTCGCGACTCACTTCTCTCTACGTCAACATGCAGTTCGACATTGTAGTCTCACTTGTATACTTTAACCATCGCGAGCAGGTGTCGCTATCTACGACACAGCAGGTTTGCTGTGTCCCTTCCGGTAATTGTACATCTACTTGATTCTGAATCTCGAAAGATGAAGTCGAAATTCGCTGTACATGTCCTGCTTTCACGAACGTTGAACTTACATGG